GATATAGAAGGGCAGGTTCATCTAGATATACATATATTTTGAAGAGCACTGCATTATTTAATAGCCATATCTTTAATATGTTTACATCCCTAGTTTTTAAGTGTTATAAATAACTTTAGACTTTCTTTAGTTAGCATATGATGCCACGCTGACTGTGGGCTTCTATTTGTTTATACAGTTAAACTAAATATTATATAGAGACTCATTTTCTTTAGTCTGTTTTCTTGTCAGATGCTTTGTTGTCAGACAGAAAGAGGTTCTAATCCCATCCTTGCCATTTACTAGTTAGATGATGTGGCCAAGTAAATCAGTTTTTGCATATATACATTGAGAATAATTATTTGGACAAAATATTTGTATATGTGTGACAGTTAGTGAAATAAAATATATCAAAGGTCTGTGAACTATCTTCCTTATCCTGACCCACCTTCCCGCAACCTGATTCCTCCTCCTCCAAATAGGCCAAGGACCAAAACTTCAAGTCTCTCTGGGATAGATTTAAAAATCTGTTATTCGGGCTTCCCTGGTGGCGCAGTGGTTGAGAGTCCGCCTGCCGATGCAGGGGACACGGGTTCGTGCCCTGGTCTGGGAGGATCCCACATGCCGCGGAGCGGCTGGGCCCGTGAGCCATGGCCGCTGAGCCTGCGCGTCCGGAGACTGTGCTCCGCAACGGGAGAGGCCACAACAGTGAGAGGCCCGCGTACAGAAAAAAAAAAAAAAAAAAAAAAAAAAAAAATCTGTTATTCAAGTAAATTCGGAAAAATAGGATCAAAGAGTAACACACTGCTTTATGGGCTTTATAGTTTTGAAACATTGACTATGGGCTAGTGGTCCTTTCTTACAGGCTCTAACCATGTCTCTCGGGATAAAAGAATCATTGCATTTAGAAAAGATAGCCAGTAGAAAAAAAAAAAAGCTGTTTCCAAATATCCAATGATTCATTAAAATACTTTTTTTTCCTTAGAAAAAAAGTTTCCACATATGCACAGTAATCATTTGGCATTTTGTAGGCTTAAGCCTTGGGAAGTTAGTGGTATTTGGCTCCTGACATGGAAGTCTTTCTCTTGTCAGACAAATCCTTTCCCCGGCACATTCCTGTGCGAGTTTGTTTCTGTTGTGCCTGATGGCAGGCTGTGAGGTGTTTGGGCATGGTTCGCACTGCCTAGGCTAGGCGGACTCCTTCACACTACTACTTTCAAGTCTTTCTGAGTTAATTTTAACTCTGTGCCTGTTAACTCGGTCACTGTTTCATCTAACTCAACGGTTCTTTTACCTGAAGGAAATTTGTCATTACTCTGCCATGGAGGATGAGCCAGTTAAGGTGCATTCAGTAAACCAAATTGTAGTCTTTGAAATTCCTTGATGACTTATTTTTGTTAATAATTCGTAAGTGTCTAGTAAGAAAAATATGAATACTTCTGACAGAGTGGGCTATTTTTAGGGTGTGATAGTGCATTTTGAGAAAAATATGAACCACATTGCCTTTCAGCATTGATTCAGGAAATCTGGGTTCTGATGATTTGAGATTTATTTTCAAGTTTTAAATTTTATATATTACTTTCAAGAATGAAGATAACACTAGGGAAATTTCATTCCGAGGAGCAAACACCAAGTAAATACAGAATATGGCAACAGTGTACATAAATAACATACTTAGTTTTTTTTTAAAAAAGGCAAAGGATTGATTTACAGTCACAAAAGCACGGATAACAGAAGGCAGTTGAGGCTTAAGAGTCATTGGGGAAGGAGATTAGGATAGTGTGAATGTTAGCATATGGATCAATTGCTGTTTAAATTGTGTGTTCCCATTTTCTTCATGCTCACACTTGATGTTTAAAAAATGTATGTAAATTCAGTGTTGCCATTTTAGAAGGCTATCAGGCTGTTTGGATGCTTTAGAATTCTTATTTTAACCAGTGATGTTGATGGTGTGGTCATAAATGCTCCTGTGTGTTGTAAACGTAAATATTTAAATGGGTACACTAAAATTTGTGAAAATTGATGCAAAATGCAAGAGGGGGGTGAGAAATATGCTTTATATCCTGCCCATTGGTAGCTGTATCATAGGCTCCTTTTTTATTTTATTTTTTTGATGGTCTCCAGCAAATTTATTTAACTGGTAGAAGACCTGCCTCAAAGAGCTGGGAGAGAGAAAAAAAAGTATATTTTATAAGCATCCTCCCAAAATGTATTTAATTAGAGGAGTCAATATAGATATTTTTATAGTACCACGGGTATTTGAAAGAAATATTTCAATATATACTTATATAAATGCATATGTGTATATATAGATATATATTACATATATAGGAAATATAAAGATTATAGGGAATCAATGCATCCGTTGACAGAATTGACATTTAGAAAATAGACTCATAAAAGTTATTTTGACACAATGGAAGATTTTGCTTAATTTTTCCCCATTTCATAGTGAAAAATGTATAACTTATTTGTATCCAACTACTCAACAATTGGTTAAAAAAGAATAACATAAAATTATATAGCATTTAAAAAACTGTGTAATCTTAAATTGACTGAAAATCTATGGTTTAAATTCAACTGCCATCAATGTAAAAATTAAGAAATTTTATTGATACCATTATTGATCATAATATTATGCTACATTTGCATACAAATGGAGGCTATATTTGCATTTGATTTGCAGTTCTCAAATCTTTCACATATATATAACTTTAATTTTATTTTATCTAAGAATCAATTGCTAATTGGGATAAAATAAAAAAATTGTCTTTCTTTGGATAATTAACATAGCCAAGGCTCTTTCATTTAAGGAATAAGCATTAAAATTAAACAAATCAAACAAGTAGATGCAAAGCCTGACTCTCACAAACTGATGCTGCACTGGACGTTAATGAGAAAAAAGAAATCGGTTTAATAGATAATACTTAACACTTAAGGCAGTGAAGCCACTCTGTAGATCAGTTTTAATCTTTTTCCCAAATAAAAACAGTGCTTCTTTCTAATATGCCTGAATATTCGGCAGAGTGTGTGTATTTGCTTAAAATGGTATAACTTCGGTAAATGCACATGTGCCTGGAGAAGCAGTACTGTGATTTGACTAATAAATAGTAATATTCATGTAACTTTATAATGGAATTTAAAGCCAGGAGTAACTGTAGAGGTCAGTTAGTTCAATCTTTTCATTTTATACATAACGTATATTACTACGGTGTTTTTTACTATTGAAGTTAAACATAACCATGTTCAAATCTGAGCAGAACAGATTGTAAGAATTTTATAACCACTCAGTCATTACAATCACCTATTCATCAGCAAGGCATATTCACTCACAGGGAATGAATCATCTATTCATCAAGAAGTGATAACCATACTGACACAGATTTCAAATAAAAAGGGAGATACATATAGTGTGTGTGTATATATAGCAGCCCTAAATAATAAGCAGCAGCTTGTAATGGGCCTGAACATTTCAGACCCTACCTCACACAAGAACAACATATTCATTGCTGGGGTTCAGTTTTCCGAATGAGGCATTTATAATTTGGGGCTACAGATTTTGGGGCTAATAATTACCACTAGAAACATTGAGTCTTGGTTATGTGTTTTGATAACATTTGCCAAACTATGTGCTTACTGACTCTTCTAGAATGATTTATTTTTTTCTACTGACATTCACTTTCCAACATGCAGTTTTTTCTGAAATAAGAAAAATGGTCTGACAAAGGGTCAGGTTTTATAGGTATACAGATGATAGGATGCTCATTTTGTCATTAAGATAATGAGTTTTATAGTTTTTTAGCATTATTTTCTTATATATAATTTGCACTAAAGTTGTTGATTATAAAAATGATATGGGCTCTACAAAAAATATTTGGAAATATTGAAAAACAGGAATAAGAAAATAACAACCAACTACAAGCTTACTACCCAGAAAAAGAACACAAAACATAACATTTTGGTGATTTTTTTTTCTGCACTAGATATCCCTCCCCTGCCCTCCTCTGACACATACATGTACACACATATGTACATTTGTGTATTTTTATTATGCATTCTGGGTCCATCACTTATAAGCTCTGTGACCTTTGGCAAGTTACTTCACTTCTCTGTGCCTCACTTCTTCATATTTAAAATATGGAGAGTAATGATAACCACATTATAGAATTGTAAAGATTACATGGGGTAATAAAGAGTATCAGTCATAATATAAACTATTACTAGAGCTACGATTTTATGTTTTGAAAACATTTTAAAATTACCAAACCTTTTTCATTTTGATTTAAAAGCCATCCTAGCCATTGCTAGTATCTTGTATTATTTTCAGCAAGTCATCATAATACCTTTTTTTCCCCTTTTATGATAATGGTGGTAAGTGGAACATCTGAAAAATATGTTCCATGCAAAATGGATCTTCACACAGACTTATTTTGTCATTTTAGTTTGATTTTTGAGAAATGAGTTCAGCACATCTGCCAAATCCTTTTATAAGATGCTACATTCCTGTTTTTATTTTAGTGTATTTCATTTATGAAAAACTCTTTTCTTCTCCACCCCTCCCCCAGACAGTTAGGCCTACCATCTCCATTCCTCCCTGTCCTGAACTATAATGTTGCTGTACATTAAATCTGTAAAATAGAAAAGGGAACAAAAATGGAAGGGCTCTGTCACTTTCTTTTTTTTTTTTTTTTTAAAGTCATTCTCCTTTTGGTATATCTAAATTAAGCAAAAAAAAAAAAAAGCCTGCCTTTCACAGTCTGAGAATATACCATTGGATAATGAACATTTTTTTTTTTTTTGCCAAATTTGAAATAGCAAAGTCTTTTTTTTCAGGGTGGGAAGCAGAAGGCTGGTTTGGGGAAGGGGAAGGTGGAGTAAAGCAAATGAAGAAGAATCAGTTTGTGAACATATGTTAATGTTTAGATTTTTTTTTTTTTTTTTTTTTAGTGAAAAGTTAACTCGTTAATGCTTTTTGTACAAACTGTCTTTGATACTGTGTTTTGTTTATTCCATCCCAGAAGAAGTTAGCGGTATACAGCAAGATGCAGGACTCTCTGGAAGTCACCCTTCCCAGCAAACAAGAGGAGGAGGAGGAGGAGGAGGAGGAGGAGGAGGAGGAGGAGAAAGACCAGCCTGCCGAGATGGAGTACCTTAACTCTCGCTGTGTCCTTTTCACTTATTTCCAGGGAGACATTGGGTCAGTAGTGGATGAACACTTCTCAAGAGCTTTGGGCCAAGCCAGCACCCTTCATCCAGAATCTGCCATTTCAAAAAGCAAGATGGGGCTAACCCCCTTATGGCGAGGTAAGAATTCCAAAGCAGATGCTCTCCAGGGCACTGGCTCTGTTTCGCAACCGTCTGTACCAGGTTCCAGCTGGAGACTTGCCCCTGGAGGACGGATATCCACTCGCTTTTTAATTTTTAAGGACAGCAAGGAATTTCTTTCAGACAAACAGCTGGATCAGTTTTGTCACATGTGGAATGCAGGGTTGGAAAGGATGCAGTCACACCCCTTAAATTCCTCGTGGAAAGTAGTGATGCAACTGGCCTGAGTTCATAGTGGCAGGATTGAGCTGCGAAGCACCATTCCTTAAGCCCCGATGGCCCAATTTGGATCTCTAAATAATAGGCGTGCCTGGATCAGTGTTTAAAAATTAGCTCTTGCTCATTCCACGAGGTGCTACGTGATGACATAGCAGAGGTCTGAGTCTGACCCAGGAATACATACTTTGAAAGCCTTTTGTGTTCTCTTGATGGCTTTCTCTGTCCTGCTTTGTTGTGATGTTAACTCTTTGTAGTGTACAACCCAGACATTATTGACTGTATCTCCCTGGTTTAAGCTTTTTTTTTTTTTTTTAACTCAGTAAAGCAAAGCAGTAGATTGGGCTTCCTCTTCTTTATTTCCCTCTATATAGAGGTCACAGAGAGGTGTGTTTGAATCTGATTTCTGACTCACAGAAAATGGTCTGATGACAACTTAATTGAGATAATTACAACATTAGAGAAAAAACAATCCATCATTCCAATGGTAGTTTTAAAGAAATATGAATGTTTCTTCTGAACTCACCTGGTTCTAAGAAGAATCTAGTAAAATGGTTCTCAAAGTGTGGTTTCCAGGTCCAGGAACATGTGCATCACATGGGAGTTGTTAGAAATGCAAATTCGTGGTCCGAGCCCCACACCTACTGAATCAGAAACTCACAGGTAGAGTACCTTGTGTTTTAACCAGCCCTCCCAGGGATTCAGGTGCAGGCTCAAGTTTGATAATTGTTGATCTAGTGCTGCTAAAAATCACAGATTGCAGCCGCCTTATTTGGACCTTCGAATCAGACAGAGGCTCCAGAGGGAGGCTCTGGGAATCACTGTAATAAGTGCCCCATGTGATCCTATGGTGAGGAGAGGCTGGCCACCAGTGATAGGTCACCTGTGGTAGGTCACCTGGGGTAGGTGGCAGGTGAGAGGTGATGAGTGGTCGGTCCCCTCTCAGCATCAGAAGAATGGTTCTTTCTTGTCTGCCTGCCTTTCCTTCCCTTTTCTCTCCTTCCCTCCCCTTCTCTCTTTTCACCATCCCTCCCTTCTTTTCTCCTTTCTGATAAGAAATATGAACAACATTGACATACACAGTGACTTTAAAGAGGAAGGTGGAATCCATGTTCAAGTGACCTAGACCTTGGTAGAGGTGAATTGGGAAGCATACTGCTTATTTGATTAGTAATTATGGACGTCCCACAAGAACTGAGAACTTAGTCCTCGAAACCCTAAGATGCTAATAGAACCAACAATGTCCTATTTGATAGCACATTGTGAATACTTTTAATAGCTTGTGGAGGGTGAAAATAGGAAAACTTCAGTGAATTAGCTGGCTGTAATAAATAGTTTGATATATCAATAATAAATCCTATCATGACAATCAGTCCCAAGAGAGTAATAAATGCAATGCCTAATTCTTTTAGCATACTAGCATATGCAACCCAGTGATCATTTAACTTGGAATATAGGAGCAAAAGCCCCAAATTATAGAAAGATGTAAGAGTGATTGTCTAAAGTATCATAACCATAATAGTTTTAAGTGAGGTGTTGTGTAAATGCAAAAACTCTACATGTCAGTGTTTTTCCCATAATCTGCATGACTGAGTGGAGAGGATCTTCGGAAGGCTGTCAAATTTCAGTATAGAAAGTGTGGATAATGGTAATGTTTTAGTAAGTATTATTAGAATTTTCTTGGCATTATCTTAAATCTGGCCTTCAAATCTATCTCCCGTTTCATTCATTGACTTATGCAGCGAATATTTATTAAGGTCCTACTATGTTCTAGGTAGTGGGAATATAGCAGTGGACAGGAGAGTCTAAGCTTCTATACTCAATGGAGCTTGCTAGTGAAAGAGACAGGCTATATATATATATAAAATGAGATGCAAGGTATTATTTTACTTAGAGTGATAACAGATGGTCTCTCTAAGACTTACATTTGAGCACAGACCCGAAGGAAATAAGAGCGCTTCTTATCACACAAATATCTAGGGGGAAATTATTTAAGGCAGAGGGAACAGCCAGTGCAAAGGCCCTGAAGAAGAATTGAACTTGAGTGTTCAATGAGAAGCCGAAATACTAGTGTGAATGGAATGAAAAGAAGAGGTGTAAGTAGAGACCAGAATTTTTAGAGCTTTGTATGTTAGTTTATCAGAGTAGCCCAGGCAAACACAGCATGCTTTTCAATTTCCATCTCTTCCTTTTCCACTGAGACTATATATATCCTATCTAGTTAACTCACATCGTTTTCCCCAATACTCAGGATAATGCATTTCTATGTGAAAAATATGGGATATGAATTGAATGATCAAGTGATTAAATTAGATGAACCAAGTTCATACTATGTACCCAGAATTAGAAAACAAAAAAAGTCCTTAATAGACTTAATAGAGAATTTATTAGTAATAAGTTGTATGCAATCTTTGGGTACAGTTTTCTTATTTATAAAATAAAGGGGTTGAATTAAGTGGTTGTTGAAATCTTTTATTTTTCTGTGAAGTTCTATGATTTCAAATGTATTACTTACTTTCCACTAGTGAATAAAACTTTGCCATAGTTGTTTCTAATTGTGAATTAGTGTTTTTAGTTAAGTATACATAAGTTGGATAAGATTCATATGAAATCCACAAAATGTAATTAAGGATTTAGCAACTATTGAATGTGTTAAAGAGAAGTATAATAAATTGAGATTCCCATGTCTAGTTAAGAGAGTTGCTGGAAATATTGTATTAATTGCCAAAGCAACACAGGTTTGCATGATGCGGTCTTTGGTTGGATTATGTTTGTTTTGGGTTCAAGTTTTGACCTTATTACTGCCTGGTTGCAATGTTATCTTTGAGTAATTCTCAAAGTCTCCCTGAGATTAACTTCAACTATAATATGTGTTGATTAATACCCATCTCCTAGGGTTGTTGTAAAGATATTTTGATAATACATATGAATTATTTGGCATAGGGCTTGATGCAAGGCACCGACTGAAGGTCAGATGCCTTTTCTCTCTACCTTAAGTTTCCATTCATTTGGCACATAGAAAACCAACCTTGGATCTTTATTCAGAAAACTGTTTTCTGGGAGTTTGTATTCCTGGCAAAAATACAGTGTTTTGGACATACTAAGTACTCAAGGCTATTGACAATGTTGATGGCCGTGGCAATAATACTTTAGGAGGAGCTGCTGAGCAGCTGTATTAAATTAAAGGGTCTAATTTATGGCATGAGGTTTTTACAGTGCTACACAAGTGCTACAGTACTTCATAGGAATTTAAAATTGAATTATGTTTGGTTGCAGAATGTATTTCCACAGTAAATCTTTAGGCAAATGATAGAGTGTCAGCTAATGATGGAACAGTGGTCATACGTTGCGTCTGTATCTTGATGGAGTTAGGAAAGTCCTCTTTAAACGTTTTGCAGCTTTGAGGCAAGCAGTTGACAGTAAATATTTGTACTTTATTTGACATGACATCACGACGGCTACCTCTTCTCGCATTATATCTCCTCATGGATTGAGTAGAGCTTCTCAATTAAGAAAACCTAATGAATCTGACTGTCTCCTTATCCCATCCAATAGAAGCGTTGGCTTCAAATATGTCTATTCACTGACCTCAGTGCTTAAGTGTTATTACAGAAAGTGTGTGTGTGTGTGTGTGTGTGTGTGTGTGTGTGTATGTAGGGAAAGCGAGTAGTTAAGTCAAGACATAGACAAATATGTCACTGGCTTGAAAACTATGCTGAGTGGTAAACTTGATACACTTTTTCTTCTTGTAGTTGAAAAGTAAATGTTTTCTGCATGACTGATCTACATCTGTCTTCTTGGAGCAACATTCTCATAAGAAAGCCCTCTCAAAATGAGCATTAAACTTAGCAAAGAGGAGGAAGGGGAGAGAGGGCCTATCTCCTGGGCCGACTGAGACAGGGACGGAGAGAGTTGGGCGGCATCTCTAAGAGGCACTGGAAGTAATCGCTGCTGGGAAGCTTAGAACAAACACGTGGGAGGAAATTGAGGCCTGGTTTATCTCATTGTCCTGCCTCCAAGGAGTAGGGCAGCTGACAGCACCCCTTGAAACTCTCACTCTAGAGTCACAAGGCCCATTTTTGAGCAACTCTAGAACAAAAGACCTGGAAGGCAGTCTTTTGATATAATGGTAATGCTTAATGCCTGAGTGACAGAAAACACTGGAACACATATCGTTTCACCTCTGACCCAATGAGTTATTTTTATGGGAAACAGAACAAGAGGAAGGGAATTAAAATTAGAGCGAGGGCCCTCTAGGTTGAGAATGGAGTAGCAGTTTTTTTCACTGAGGTTAATAAAAAGGTGAATGTTATCTTTTAACATGGATGTTTTCAATCAGTATTTATTCTAAGAATATGTTTTCTGGAGATTTTTAAGATGACTTAAGATAGAGGTTCTACAACATTTTATGGTCCTATTTTTCCTTTTAATATAGTTTTCATTTTTTTTTCAAAATTAGGTAACAAAATATTTATTTTTTTAAAATTATATGTTGAATTTTCTCTTGCATAAAGTGTTTGCCCTTAGGTTGTTTTTCAGAGGCATTGAAGTTTAATGTCAAAAGTATCCCAGCTACTGTGAAATTGAAAGAACCACCTGATGATCCATGTTAAAGTCTTTTATGTCTCTAAGACACATTTCTGCTAAAAACCATGCCAGTGGGATTACTGGGTATGCTTTGAGTGGATTGCATGAGACAATTTCCTTTTTTCTTTCTTTGTTGTTGTTTAGAAATAAGGGTGTGTATGCATGTGTAATATTCTTTAATCCCAAATGCAAACTGAACCAAAGTATATTTAGACTTTTTGTACATGTTAGACTCAGTGTTAACGTCACCCAAATGTCCAGTATCATTGAGCCCAGAGTCACCACAGAGTGTGAATATCGCATAGTTCTGAATTGCTAAAAAGTAATATTGCATGGAAATAGCGTGTGCAGTTTTTCATAAGCTTTTTCATCCAAAAAAATGTGGCTGTGATTAAATACTTGTAAGCAAAGAGTCATGTAATGAAAAAATTTACACACATATGAAATAAGCACACTGATTCCCAGGCATGAAACAAAGACTATCATCTGTTTCTTTGTATCAAGAATTTCTTTTTTAACAATCAAGATACCAGATAGTGGTTTTGAAATGTAGACTTGTCCATAAACATTTTCTGTTCAATATAGTTTCATTTACTTGTAGACTGCAACATTAGTTTTGAAAAGAGCTGCATAGATCTCTGCAAACTTTATGTTAATCTCAGGAGACATACTGACTGGGAAAATATTAAGTTGCTTCTAATTTGATTTTTCCCTGGGGCATTTTAAAGCTTTGTTCAGCCTCTATGGGGTGCATTTTTTAGAATAGATTTCTACTTTCAATGCTAATGTGTTCACTAATCACAATACAATACGTCATAAGTAGGATAATATTTTTGGTAAGGAATTTTTTCATTATTCATATTTCTGCACGCATATCCAAAATGCGTAAGCATCTGTAAAATAAAATTAGGTCCGTGGACATACAAATGGAAAGAAACAAAAGGAAAGCATCCAGGGAAATGACATATACTCTCTGTACTTTTGACGTTTTAATGGGGGATATTAATAAAGAGAACTGTCTGTCTCTGGCACACACCTGTGGGTTGAGTTCAGCTGTTTTTATAATGAGATTCTGGCCCCGCAAGAGATACAAATTATGAGCAGAATGAAGGGTTTGCCACCAAAGATTGGATCTGTGAGAACAAAGGAGCAGATTGGTGGTGGCAAAGCTGCACTGTATAATATAAGGAGCCTCTATAAACTCTTTGTATGAGTTTTAAACTTTAAAGGTTAACAGCTTTCTACTGTGGGTATGATAGAAATATTCTACAAATGGCCATCATTTAAGGCAAATTGAATTTTCTTCCTACAGCTCACACGATTTTCCTTCTTGTCATTAGCAGCCATGTTTCATATGTCAAAGGAAGACCATTCTTAAATAGAACATATTTGCCTCAATGCCAGTAAGTGACTTTAAGTGCTATTTTCGGATAGATTGTGATTGTGACAAAACTAAGCCATTCAAGTAAAAGTTTGCCAGGACTGTTGGAAGGTTTGAAGAAGAGTTTGTCCTTTCATCCTTTGCCTCTTGAAGAACATCATCGCTTAGATTTCCTCAAGGGTTTTGAGATCCATGGAGATCCTGAGCAGGGGATGGGAGGAAACTTGAACTGAGACACTGAATAGCCATCTGTCTGTGGATGGGGTGGATGATAGCTCTGCTGTGGGGCTGATGGGGAGAGAGAGGAAGAGCTCGCAGTGTTAGTGCCACAGCCTTTAGGGAAGCTAGAGAAAGGAAATGTTTGAACAACCCGGTGATAATCATAATTACGTTCATCAAATTACACATGTAGGGGTTGAGTCAAGTTATATAAGCTTTCCCTGAGGCAAGAAAACTATGTCCTGGAAGTTTATGACGTGAGAACGTGAACATGTCAGACTTCTGAATACTTTTATTTCACAGTACTTCTTAGGATATCTTTTATTCCGTGGAAAGATCTAGCAAGGTTCATTTATGTGAAACCCAGTATAAAAATACTATTTTACTGTACTTGCATGACTAACGTACTAAGCAACCTTATCATTATCTATAGATACAAATCCTCCATAGGACATGTCACAGAATGGCTAGAGGTATGGGGACAGAAGATATTTGGAATTAAATGAGCTCAAATCCTCACATTTGATTGGAGGACACTGAGCCACAGAGAGGCCAGCAGATCATTTGGGGTCCTACAATGAGACAGGGTAATTGCTGGGTGTCAGCTTTCTGGCTGAGCACCCCAGACTCCCAGGCCCGTGCTTGCTTAGTTACCCTGCACTGGAGGCACCTGGCTCTCACTGGAGGAATCGAGCTTTCTAAACACAGTTCTGACTATAACGCTCCCTAGATTAAAACCCTTTTAAGCTCACTGGATCTCCTCAGGACAGCGCCCACACTTAGTGCATGGCTCATAAAAACATACCCATGTGGGTCCTTCTTAGACCATAGTCTGTTTGCCACCATCTGCCCGCTGAACTCTTTTTTCGTCCCTCAAATGCTATTTGTGTGTGTATGTGTAATTTTTGGCCTTTTTTTTCACATACTTTTTCATTAGCCTGAAACAGCAGTCCCCAACCTTTATGGCACCTGGGACCTGTTTCGTGGAAGACAATTTTTCTACAGAGGAGGTGGGTAGGGGGGAGGGTTTCGAGATGATTCAAGTGCATTACATTTATTGGGCCTTTATTTCTATTATTATTACATTGTAATATAATGAAATAATTATACAGCTCACCATAATGCTGACAGGGGGCAGAGCTCAGGGGGTAATGCGAATGGTAGGCAGCAGCTGTAAATACAGAGGAAGCTTCGTTCGCTCTCCCGCTGCTTACCTCCTGCTGTGTGGCCTGGTTCCGAACAGGCCACGAACCGGGAGTGGTCCGTGGCCCGGGGGTTGGAGACCCCTGGCCTAAAACACTCTTCCCTACCTCTTCACAAGGCTAGCCCTCCCGACCCTTTCTATTTAACTATTACTTTCTTAGGCAGCTTTAGTGCCCTTTCCCTGTACTTCCCCTTATGAGAGCACAAACCAAATTACATTGCTCAGGTCTATTTACTTATCTGTCCCCTGCCAGATTGTGATTAAAGGTGATATCTGTCTGGTCATCCCTAGTCGCCCCATGTTTCACACATAGTAGGTCATCTATATAAACATGTCAAGACCACTGAGTGGAGAAATTGAATTGAAGCAAAGTCGAGGACGGGTCTCCCTCTTGCTTATTTATCTCCAAGTGCTATTCTCTGATATCATTTCCCCTTCCCTAAACATCTCCTCAAATCCGTTGCCCCAGTGGAGTCTCCTCCACTCATGATTTCCACAGAATCTTCACCAAGTTCTAGATGTTCAGGTTATAGTTACAAATGTGCTGTCCTGTGGCACAGGTATGATGAGAGCCAGCCATCCAGGCAGGCTACCTGTCTTCAAAGCCCAGTCTCCCACTTGCCAGCTGTGGCTCTTGAGCTTCTTCCCTGCCTCAGTTTCCACATCTCTAAAATGGGGATAATAACAGTAACTACCTCATAAGGTTGGAGTGAGTATCCAGTGAGATCAAATCCATGCAAAGCTTCTGGCCTAGTATTGGGCATTTGGTCACTGACATTAAATGTGAACTATTATTATTTTCAGTTTAGAAACTCTCAGACCTGTACAGAAAAAATAAGCTTGGAACATACTCTTCTTGATGGAAAATGGGTGTTGGCAAGCATCACTGTGATCTTACTTCCATCTGTTACTTTCAGCGTTAAAATGCTTAGTTTGGGTGAAAATTGTATTTTCCTTTAAAAGAAATTGGTAAACATCATCGTTTCCAACCTACCTGAATCGCGTCTATGGCATAAGCGTTTCTTACCTGAGACTTATATACCTGTGACCTGTGCTCAGACTTGATGGCAGCAAGACACGCAGGAGGAAACGAAGCTTTCCAGTCCCAGACTTGCCGACCTGAGCCTAGACTGTGACAGCCTAAGCTAAGCAAACAAAGCAGGGGACTCGTTCAGCACCTGGACCCCTGAGTACTGACCTGGCATGGCAACTCAGAGGCTTACCTGGTATCTATTCACCTCTGTGTGGGGAGAAAAAGAGTGTATGCTAATTAGCCTGCTTGTAAAATATTGGACAAGTAGAGGCAAGTCTATCCCAGAACTGAATCTTATGTAAATAATGTATTTTTCTGTCTTCTCAGACAGCTCAGCTCTCTCAAGCCAGCGGAGTAGTTTCCCGACTTCCTTTTGGACCAGCTCTTACCAGCCCCCATCTGCACCCTGTTTGGGGGGAGTTCATCCTGACTTCCAGGTCACTGCACCCCCTGGCACCTTTACTGCCGCTGACCCCAGCCCCTGGTCAGGACATGGGCTGCATCAGACTGGCCCCGCCCCTCCCCCTCCCGTGTCCGAGTCCTGGCACTACCCTCTGGCATCTCAGGTGAGCCCGTCCTACAGCCACATGCATGACATGTACATGCGGCATCACCACCCCCACATGCACCACCGCCACCACCACCACCACCACCACCATCACCACCACCCTTCTGCTGGCTCTGCCCTGGATCCATCCTATGGGCCCCTGCTGATGCCGTCTGTGCGTGCGGCCAGGATTCCCGCTCCCCCGTGTGACATCACAAAAACAGATCCGACTACAGTCACCACTGCTACCTCAGCGTGGGCCGGAGCCTTTCACGGAACCGTGGACTTAGTGCCAAGTGTGGGGTTTGATACAGGTGAGCCCGGTGATTTCCTCCTTTCCATAAAAGAAGAAAAATTAATGAAATAAATACAGAAAAATGGAGGATGTTTTAAATACCTGGAAAACTTTTTTTCTCTTCCGTGGAAAGTTCAGCTTTGCCCATATGTTTATAGAACTAACCATTTTTCAAGAATTCCTGCATTCCTGCAGAAACTGGTATGACTGCGTGAGAGAAGTCTCAGAACTTTTCTCCCATTTCTTAAGCTAGTAATCTGTTTCTTTGAACTGGAATCTCTGGCACCTTATATTTACAAAGATTTAAACACATTCTTTAACTCTCCCATGTCTCTGTGCTCTCTACCAGTGATGTGTAATGCCTAACAGAATTCAGAAATAGTATGTTTCAGTAATTTTTCCTTCTCCCTTTTTTGTCAGGTCTTATTAATTATTTATAAACCAAACTGCTTTCTGGAGTATAATCCATGTAATATAATCATGGTCTTTAAAAAGAATTATGGAACGTATTTTAAAGGAATGGATTTCTCTTCCCTTTCTTCTCCTTCCCCTCCTTTTCCTTCATTTGCCTTTTGTTATTTTCCTCCTCCCTCCCTCCCTCCCTCCCTTTCTTCCTTCTTTCCTTCCTCTTCTCATCCTCCCTATTCTCCTTCCTTTCTGTTTCTTTCCCTCTCTCTCTCGTTTTAAAGCATCAAACTTGAGATTACTCTAAAGTCTATGTTCAACAGATTTAGAAAAAAATTGGTAAGGGAAATATTTCTTCACAGAGCATTCAGCTCCTCTCTGGAATTCACTAGTTCCGAAGGTCATGGTGTTAAATGTTTGAGCTTGATTTTTGGACCAGATTACACATATTAATAGTGTTAGTAGTTCTGAGTTCACAAAATCACAAGCATCACAGGCTAAGAAGACAAATCAGGTCAGTGATTATATCCCCAGAATCTACGTTCCAAAGGCAGCCACCTCCACCTCCAATCCCAGGTTCTTTTCCTGGAACACTTTGTGACAAATTAGAATTTTCTTTCCAGAAGTTTAAGGAAACTCACTCTTTTCTTTTTTTTTTTTTTTTTTATAAATTTTAGTTCTTTACTTTTTCCTTGTGATGAGAAAACTCACTCTTTTCATAGTTTTTCTTAGTTTTATTCTTAGCGTGCAAGACCTTTAATCTGAATGCTGGTCACAGCAGAGAAATCCCCAGAGTAATAAATGCTGAGCATCAAGTTGCGTTCACCCTGACATAAGTGAAACATTCTTATCTTGGTTAACTTGTTCTTTACTGAGCTTTCCAATGTTGGTTATTGCCTAACCTTACCCATTTCAGCTTCCTACTTAGCCTCTGGGTTCAAGCTGGTTTTCTAAACTCTCAGGGGACTTGGTTCTCCCTCTCTATGAGAAGAGAATATGATGGGGCTAACCACCACAGGCTTCCCTCCTTCCTTTGCCACACACTAACAGTATGAAGGCAACTCTTGAGTTGTTTGATGCCTGGGGCCAAATCTAATGAGAGCCGCAGTTTGGTAGCTGCCATCATTGGCAGCCAGTCTCTGCAGGCTCTCACTTTCCAGGTACCTGCGTGGCCAGAGTTAACAATGCTCTTAGCAGGCAAATGGAACATTTTCTTCTTTCTTAGTTTGGGCTTCTTCAACAGGATACCATACACTGGGTGGGCTAAACAACAAACATTTAGTTCTCACAGTTCTGGAGCCTGGGAAATCCAAGACCAAGGTGCCAACACATTCAGTGTCTGGTGCGGGCCCACTTCCTGTTTCATAGATACTGTCTTTTCAGTGTGTCCTCACTTGGGGAAGGGACAAGAGAGTTCTCTGGGATCTCATTATGAGGGCACTAATCCCATTCATGAGGGCTCCACCCCATGACTTAATTGCCTCCCAAAGGCCTCACCTGTTAATACCATCACATTTGGGGTTAGGATCTCACGTGAACTTTGCGGGGACACAAACATTCAGTCTGTAGCATCCAAACTTTGCATTTTATAACATAAAGTGGAAGGTGGATGTGATTGCCTTTGCTCCCTGTTTCTCTCTGTCACTTATTACCTACTTTTGTACTTGTTAATTTTGGTGTGACCCTGATTCCTTGACTCACTGTCCAGAATTTTGGCTTGAAACAGTCTCTTCGGAATGAAAAGTCATCCTACTACCTTTTGGAAGTAGAAGAGAGGGGATTTTTGTTCTCTCTGAAGAATCTAGAGAGCACCCATATGGGTATATTATATAATAGTTCTTAATACTTACTGAGCTATGAATAAATATGTATTGAATACCCACTATATAAGGTATTGCCAGAGATACTTTATATATAATTTTTTGCTTTTAACCCTTAAACCAAATCTGAGATGGATCTTCTCTGATTCAGTTATTGATAAGGACACAGCTCAGTTTTCCTATTTGAAAACTGCTTCCTAAATCACAAATGCTCAAGGTGGATTTGAACTAAGACCTGCCCCAATCTAAAGAGTTGCTGGGGTAGCATCTCCCTGTTTATATAGGTAAAAGAGACTATTAATTAAAACTGTTAAATTAGACTGTAAATGGTTAATATTGTGGAATGAAGGTTTACCTTTTGGATGTATGTAGTGCTCTTCTTTGTCAGTGTGGGTTTAGGATGATGATCATGATTCTTTCCTGTCCCATAGTTTTAACCCAACTGAACAAAGACAAAGGAATCAAGCAGATAAAGATCAAATCATTAGCATAATTATTGATCAGGCCAAATTGGAGATCTTAGATTAGGCTTACTACCATAATTGAACTTCCTGGAATCCTCAGCTAAGTTTAGATTTTGGGAGATCCAATCCTAGGGAAAATCTAGTCTTCAGAGAAGATTCCCATAGACAACTTCCTTGTCACACAGTTTAGAGCCTCGTTACTGTGAAAAGAGATGATGGTTGGTCAGATTTGCCTCAGAAAAGCATAGTCTGAGGCATGACTTACCTTACAAAGGCAGCAGGAGGAGCATGCACCTCCCTGCATGGGGGTGGCCCCAAAAAGAGAGAGTTGAAGGGGCTAAGCCACAGGGACTCATTTTCCTCTCCTATTCTTGGGCATCATATCAAATATCACATCTCTCTTCCTTTAGGAGGAGTTAGGAGTGTTTTAGGTCAGTTTCCCCAAGAAAGAGACTCTCTGATGCAGTTTTGGTTGTAGGAAATATATGCAGTAGTGTTCTCAGGGCAACATCTTTGTGCAATGGGAGAAGAATTGAACAGGAGAAGTCTCACAATGAATAAGTTCAACTGAACCTCAGTGGATTCTACAGGGAGCTCTAGATCTGGGATGGCCTTTTATAATTGTCTTGCCTTAAGTCAAGGTGGATGGACTTTTATATTCCCACACTGATCAGTTACTGGATGGATTTGCCCCTGGAAGGAAGGTCATGACATTAGGCAAGGTAGCCTTGTTCAGCTGAAAGCAATTCCCAAAGCGAAACAACTGAAGGTCATGAGCTGCCAACAGCAGGAGAATGAATATCTCAACACAGAATAGTGAGGGACCTGACAGCCCACCACAGTATCCACTACAGAGGGACAAAAAAAGAGCGGTAGCTACTCTTCCACTTTTCTACTTGTAAAAGAAGTTTCTGTATAATAGACCCAAGCAGGGAAGGTAAGATTGTTGAGAAGAATGAGAGATGAGTCCCTCTATGTAATCTGTGCAAAGCTGACCTGACCGTGCAGCCCAAAACAGCTCAGAACTCAACATCTTTGTTAGGTGACTATTGAGCAACTGTGAAAAGAGCCTGCATTCAGGTGAGACAAGCCCAAAACTTCCCAAAGACCAGGTACTTAGGCCACCAAAATGTAAGTCATTTTTACATTAGGAGGTAAATAAATTAATCTAACCATTTGGAGAGAAATTTGGTAAAGAATATGCCCTTTTCGTCAATAGGGGGAAGGTTGAATAATTTTAGGTGCATTTTAATTTTGCAGCCATTTAATGAAATTAAGAAGTCTGGGAGGTTGAACATAATATAATGTTTAGTGACCTAAGAAAGTTTTAGAGTATCTTGTATGGTATAATCCAAGGGTCAGCAAAATTTTTCTGTAAATGGCCTGATAGGGATATTTAATGCTTTGTGGGGGTCACACTGTCTGTGGCCACCACTCAACTCTGCTTTTGTACTGTAGAAGCCCATCGCAGACAAAAAAATAAATGAGCTGGCGGTGTCCCAATAAAATTTCTATTGATACTAAAATTTGAATTTTATATGCTTTTTGTGTGTCATGAAATGATACTCTTCGTTTTTCATTCCTTCTTTCTCAACCATTTAAAAATATAAAATCCATTCTTAGCTCATGGATTATGTATAAACAGATGGTGGGCCTGATTTGGTCTATGGGCTATAGTTTGCTGACCTCTAGTATGTATAGTCCCATGCGAATACTTGTTATCTGTCGACACACATACATATGCATGTGTGTGCCTAGAAGTATATACCCCAACTTTTAATGGCCATTACTCCTAGTAACTAGTGTGCAATGTGAGCTTTTAAGCTAGATGGCCTGGTTTTATAAGCCCAGCTCTGTCCCTTGCTAGCTACAGGGCTTTGGGCAAATTTTTTAACCTGCTTGGTGCCTCAACTTCCTTAACTTTCAAAGATGTTTCATTGGGTGGTTTCAAGGATTAAATGAGTTAATGAAGTAAAACATTTACAGATGTGCCCTGCACATAGTAGGTACACTATAAATTCTGGCTACATAAGGGAAAGTGATCAGACCTTCACTCATTTTAGCTTTAAAAAATTTATTATTGAACAATATTTCATATATCATACACTTTAGCATTTTAAAGCATACAATTCAGTGGGTTTTAGTATGTTGACAATGTTCTACAACCATCTCCACTAAGTATAGAACATTCCCATCACCTCCACAAGAAATTCCATACTTCCTCCTTCCACTATTACCTGGCAACCACTAATCTACTTTCTGCCTCTATGGATTTTCCTACTGTAGACATTTCATATAAATAGAGTCATATAATATGTGACCTTTTGTGT